CTCCCCCCATCATTCACTATGGTAAGATTTTTTGTTCTGATGATGCCTTACACCTGATCCCTTCGACACCTCGTGGTTGCATAGGCTGGTGTGTACTCTTTCAAGATACAGAGGAGAGGGTTTCACAAAGTTGGTGGGGAAATTCCCAGATCCTATCTATTCCCCTGTTCCATCGAAATCCTTTCTAGTCCACGCTTTTCCATCTAGAAGGAGCCCCTGGGGGCGTCGTGGTTTTGGAACTCGATTGCCAGGCCTTTCTTCCAAGCCTCTGCTGGGGGATTCGAACCGCCAGCCTGTCTGTTGTCAGTGAGTGCTTCCTGTTTGCACCGCCAGGCAGATGGTACACATATGCGAAACCACCTGAAACCCAAACTCACGGCCATCGGCCATCAAGTTGATTCCGACTCACAGTGACCCTGCAGGGCAGAGTCGAACCTTGGGATGTCCGAGGCTGTAAACTCTTGAAGGGCTCAAAAAAGCCTCATCTTTCCTTTGTGGGGAGGCTGATGGGTTCGAACTGCTGACCTCGTGGTTAGCAGCCTCGATGCATAACCCACCACCCCACCAACCACCAACTCCCTGCCATCCAGTCAGTTCTGATTCGAAGGGGACCCTCATAGCTTAGAAAGAAACTACCCCCTATGAGTTTCCGAAGCTGTAACTCTTTGGGAGTAGAGAGCCTCATCTTTCTCCTGCAGAACGGTTGGTGGTTTCAAACTACTTACCTTGTGGTTAGCAGTCAATTGTAGAACCCAGTACACCACCACAGCCCCTTATATATGAGAAGGCTTCGAAAAGTGGGTGGAAAAAGGAATTGAAAAAGAAGGGAATTTTTCCAGAACTTTTTGAAGCCGCCTGGTATTTGGCACTAAACAACCCTAGGGGCTGATTGTCTTGTCAGAAAGGACACTCAAGGGTCCTGGAGACCCCCCTCCCCCAACTCAATGTGCCAGGCATCAACCCTTAACTTGCTGGTTTGCAGGAGGTTCTGGGTGGGAGGCGGGGCAGGGCTGGTGGTGAAAAGGGCTATTGACCAGTTGGTTTTAATCAATTCTCTCTCCGACCAGCAGGCACAGCCGTACTGGTGTGTGCTGGCTTGGTGCCACGCATGCCAATGACTGAAACGAAAGTTTCCTAAGACAATAACTCACCCTGATTATGTAAGACGCAGTGGGCATAGTCTACATTCTGGTCGCTTCCGTTCCATTAAAAAAGAAATGGTTGCTGCCTCCCGCCGCAGAATCAGTTTCTCCATCGACTCATCCCCCAGGACAGGCCAGCTACGGGCCTTCGGTGTCAACTGCCCGGTCTGCAGAGCATTTGTCCCCTGAACAAACTGTGGCCCTCCAGCAAGGTGAGAGTGAGCCCCGAGAGCCATTGGATGGGACACTTTTATGTCCCTTGAGTCTAAGGCATTTCTGAAGGTTGGGGCTTGAGTTAGGGAAGTCTGGGCTTAAACTTTTTTCTTTGGCTAGTGGTTTATTTCGATTGGATTTTACAAACCCGCTGGTCTCCAGGGGCTGGACTGGCAATGTCAAAAACTAGCCCTTCATCGAAAGGGGAGAGAAGCCCTGGCCTAACCCCCCCCCACCCCATGTCTTACCCATGATCCTCTGCTTCTCCATCTTGACAATGGGCAGGCAAGTGTGCCAGGATCACAGGCATTTGAGGATCCTGGAGAACTCAACGCCCCCCAAAGGGAGACCTTGTGTCATTGCGCTTTGCTTTCTGGGGCTCGGGAAAGTGTGGGGTGCTCTGTTTGCCTGTTTTTCCGAATTGAAGATGTGTGGCAGCCCGGCCTCCAGTCAGTCCATCCATGGGCACCATCTTCCCAACAACCTGTGTTCACTTCCTATCTCTGTGTCCCTATCTCTGTGGTCATGCTCACATTTCAAACCTTTCGGTGTCACAGAGGAGAGTCTACACTCCAAAGGGAGCCCTGGGGGCCTAGTGGTTACACAGGGGAGGGGGGCGTGAACCACAAGGTTGGCAGTTTGAAACCAATGTGGGCCAATGTGGGAGAAAGACTGCTCTTTTTACTCCCTTAAAGAGTTACAGCCTTGGCTCTCACCAGGGCAGCTCTCTACGCTGTCCTGCAGGGTCGCTATGAGTCGGCACCAACTCCGTGGCAGTGGCTGTGGTTTGTGGGATCCACAGATTCGTGGGACTTGCTTCACGGTGGTCTGGAACGGAACCTGTAGGATCTCCTTGGTCACCCTGTCTCCCATGTAGACCCTGGAACACTCCCGAGACTTGCCCTTTCCCTACGAGGGATATTTCCATTGTCCATTCTGAAACATACTCTCTCTGCTTCCAGAACACTCCATTTTACCATTTCCTGGAACTTACCGGAAGATGTTCCCCCTCTGACTTCCCCTGTACCCTCTGACACCATCCCCTTCTCTGCACCCCCAGGCCACCCCGCTCACCTTTCAGTCACTGAGCCCAGACACAGTGTCCACACCCTCAGGCCACCCCACTCACCTTGCGGTCACTGAGCCCAGACACGGTGTCCACACCCTCAGGCCACCCCACTCACCTTGTGGTCACTGAGCCCAGACACGGTGTCCACACCCCCAGGCCACCCCACTCACCTTGTGGTCACTGAGCCCAGACACGGTGTCCACACCCCCAGGCTACCCCACTCACCTTGCGGTCACTGAGCCCAGACACGGTGTCCACGTACTCCTCCTGGATCATGAAGGCAGCCAGGTTGGCGGTGTAGCTGGCGAGGAAGATGACGGCGAAAAAGGCCCACACCAGGACCATGATCTTGCTGGTGGTCCCCCGGGGGTTCTCCACGGGCACCGAGTTATTGAACACCAGGGCCCAGAGCAGCCAGATGGATTTCCCAATGGTGAAGGTCGAGCCGCCAGGACCTGCAAAGGAGAGCCAGGAGGGGGAAATGGACCCCCAATTCCTTTTCCTCAGTGAGGAAGGAGAAAGAACTACATTTCCCAGTAGACCCTGGTGCCCCTAACCCCGACCCACCCGCCTCTTGAGGCCATAGTAATGCCCCGGGGCCTCCTGGGAAATGTAGTTTCAGTCGTGGTCTGGGCCCAGGGAGGTAGGGTAGAGGGAAGGACTCACGCTTGCCCGTGGCCAGGCTGCGGTTGTAGCCGACGGGGCTGAGGTACTCGAAGATGAAGACGGTGACGGCGACCACGGTGAGGCACATGACGAACATCATCACCCACACGGCGGGGCTGTAGGGCTCTGAGGGCAAAGGGGGGAGGTTACTGGCATGTTGGCCTCGGTAGTTCGAAACCCCCCGTCGCTCTGTGGGAGAAAGATGAGACTTTCTACTCCCATAAAGAGTCCGTCTTGGCCATCCATGGGAGCCATTCTCCCCTGTCCGATGCGGTCACGACAACCCAGAATTCACTTGATGGGAGTGGTCTTTTGTTATTTGTTGGTATTGAGGGATAGTCTTTCTCAAGGGCAGATAGCTCAACAACTTCTGTCCTTTCAGCCACCAACAAGCATGCTGTGTGCCGCCTGTCCTCCTGTTGAGGCTGAGTTGTGGAGACCCCACAGAACAGGGCAGAACGGCCCTTCAGGGTTCCCGAGGCAGGATGCCTAGGTGGCATCGTGGGTTATGTGCTGGGCTGCCAATCACAGGCTTGGCAGTTCGAGCCCGCCAACTGCTCTGTAGGAGAAAGATGAGGCTGTCTGCTCCTTAAGGAAGCAGATGACACTTAAAAAAAATAAAATTCTTGCACACTGACGAAGCACACGACATTCCTCTAGTTCTTTAATGCGCCCGCCAGTTCTACCTTACAAACCCAGCTAGACCGGAGCATGTACACTGATACAGATAAGAGCGCTCAACACGCAGAATCCAGGACAGAGAAACCCCACAGAAACAGTAATGGGAATAGCGATCCTGAGGGTAGGGGGAAGGTGAGGGGAGAAGGGGGAGAAAGAGGGAACCAATTGCAAGGATCAAGGTATAATTGCCCCCCCCCCCAAGGAGGATGAACAACAGAAATGTGGGTGGAGACAGCGGACAGTGTAAAATAAGTGTAAAATATGAAAACAGTAACAATTTATCAAGGGGTCACCAGGGGTAGAGGGATCAAAGAGGAGCTGATACCAAGGGCTCAAGTAGAAAGAAAATGTTTTGGAAATGAGGATGGCAGCCTATGGACAAATGTGCTTGATACAATGGATGGATGGATTGTGATAAGAGCTGGAAGAGCCCCCCATAAAATGATTTATTGAAATAAAAAATAAAAATTTAACAAAGGAATTCTTGCAGACCCACTGTTAGATTCGAACCCGCGCCCTTCCTCTCCATTAGCTGCAGACACTTAATCATGTTTCCCTCGGGCTCCTTCCCCAAACATGAGCACTTGTCTGTATATGTTTCCTGGCACCTGGAGCTGAGTCTTCCCCCCGGCTAATTCCAGGTCGCTGACCACGTCCCACAGGGTCTCCAGGTCCCTCCTGTGGGCTCCATCTTGGCCATGACCCCGGTGGTGACACCTCATCCTCGCGGACAGTTCCGCAGTCCCCAGCCCTTCCCTCCTCCACCTCAATCTCTCTTTCCCAATCTCACGCCAGCCTCTCCCTCCAGTCCAGGCCCAACCTGCTCCTAAGGATCTTTCTAAACCCAGACTGGCCCCTCCCCTCCCTCCCCCCCTCCCTCCCTCTGACAGCCCTCAGGACGGGGTCCCAGCCCCTCAGTGTGGTCTCACCCCCTCTTTCAGCCCCCTGAAGCATGCTGTTCTACACTTTGTTCTAATAACCCAGCATTCCGTGAGGATCACCTTCCCGACACAATCCCTGAAGACAAAGCGGGCGCATAAGCAAATGTGGTGAAGAAAGCTGATGGTGCCCAGCTGTCAAAAGATACAGCGTCTGGGGTCTTAAAGGCTTGCAGATAAACAAGCGGCCATCTAGCTGAGAAGCAACAAAGCCCACAAGGAAGAAGCACACCAGCCTGTGCGATCATGAGGTGTCCCTGGGCTCAGGCATCAAAGACCCAGACCAAAAAATCATATCAATGTGAATGAGGGGAAGGGTGGAAGGGAGGCCCAAAGCCCATCTGTAGACAGTTGGACATCCCCTTCCGGAAGGGTCACACGGAAGACAAGGAGCCAGTCAGGATGCAGTATAGCACCGATGAAACATATAACTTTCCTCTAGTTCTTTAATGCTTCCTCCCTCACCCCCACTATCATGACCCCAATTCTACCTTACAAATCCAGCTAGACCACAGCATGTACATGGGTACAGATAAGAGCTGGAAACACAGGGAATCCAGGACAGATAAACCCTTTGGGACCAATAATGAGAGTAGCCATACCAGGAGGGGAAGGGGAAGGTGGGGAGGAGAAAGGGAACCGATCACAATGATCTACCTATAACCCCCCTCCCAGGGGGGGCGGACAACAGAAAAGTGGGTGAAGGGAGACTTCCGTCAGTGTAAGACATGAAAAAAATAATAATTTATAAATTATCAAGGGTTCATGCGGGAGAGCCGGAAGGGGAGGGGGAAAATGAGCTGATCCCAAGGGCTCAAGTAGAAAGAAAATGTTTTGAAAATGATGATGGCAACCTATATACCAAGGTGCTTGACACAATGGATGGATGGATGGTAATAAGAGCTGTAAGAGCCCCCACTACAATGATTTGAAAGCAAGCAAGCAAGCCAAATGCTATTATAATATCTAAAAAAATTTTAATAAAGAAAGCTGTTCTAGCCAAACAACAGTTTAGCTTAACGAGTCAAGAGCTTTGAGCATCTCGCTCTCTTCAGATCTTTTTCTGTGAGTTCAAAGGGAGAGGAGCAATGTAGAATTTTAGATCAGAACCGCAGAGGGAGTGATAGGGTTTTCTCACATGGTTACCTGGGAGGGAGGACTCCGAAAGGGAGGGTGGAAATGGCTTCAGTGGCAGTGATACAGGCGTGTAGAAACTTGAATGGCCTCTCTTATGACTGTGTATATTCTCCACAACAAAAGATAAAATACATGACTAAAAAAAAAAAAATACTGTTCTCCAAACCAGCAAATCTCTCCTGCAAAAAGGTGCCAGGCTGAGCCCCGCCTCTCATGCCCTGTTCACAGCCCCCTCCTCCCTCCCCATGACTGGCCACCGCCTTGGGGAGAGAGGCAGGGTACCCAGTCCTTGAGTCAGGACTCGGTGACGTGCCCTCCGGGCCAAGTGCCAGGCGCCAGAGCTGACCCTGTTGGAGCGAGGCTGCCGCCCTGGACGGACGGGCACTGGATATCTGGCCCTCTGCCTGTCGCCTCCACTGGGCAGCCTGACGGGGAGTCAATGCGACCTTGTCAGCCCCTGCTGGGCGCTGGTGGAGGACAGGGACCTCATGCAGAGATCTGAGAGCCAAGCTGAGGCGGCCAGGGGAGTCGCTGGCAGAAAAACACAACAAGGGAAAGTAAAGGAAGGCTGTGGCTTTCCCAGCCCCTCTCCCCTCCCAGGAGCGAGGGCAGACCCCCTTCTGGGCCACACCCCACACCGGCTTCCTCTTCCGTGGGAAACTAACACCGAGGGAAATAGGACGAGGACTAGATTCCCTAACTGATCACAGAGGGAATCTGGAAAGCTGGTAATCCATGGTAGGAAAGCCTCCACTTTGGTCAGTTAGAGGTCAAGTCCAAGTAGATGACATGATCCTGCTTTACATATCGTTCCCACAGATTCTCCCCTAACAGCTCTGCTGCCTTAAAGTGAGCACGTGGTTGATTTATCTCCTTACAGAAGCAGACCTCCTGTCTGTCCCTATCTCTTCCCTCCTACCTTCCCCAAATGCAGGTGCGAGGTTTCCTCACCTGTGAGCTCAGGGACCTTACTGTGGATTCCACCCACCTTGTGACGCATGTCACTACTGAAGATGCGTGTCTTAACGCGACCTATCAATGTCCCGAGATAGTAAAGGTTCACTCTCTCTTCTCCCAGTTCCACGTGGATCATCACGAGGAGCCGAGGTGAGCATGCGTCCATAAAACGTGTCTGCCTCCTTCACTTCATCCCCTCTCCTAGCTTTCCTACCCTCTGTGACTTTACTGTCATCATTATGTATCGTCGCGGTGCATTTGTGCCTTCTGGTCCTTCGGGGGTGAGAGGCTGCTTTCCTCCGACACTCCTCTGTCCTCTGTGCCTCGGAGCCAGAGCTGGGCCCCTGGGCGGCACAAAATGGTGGAGCGCTAGGCTACTAACCAAGAAGGCCAGAAGTGCGAATGCACCCTAGGGAGGTGCCTGGGGAGAGAAGTCTGGCGATCTGCTGAAAAGGCACCCCCAGGGGAACCCCATGGGGGTCTCTCATGAGTCAGGAGTCCGAGTGGGCTCGATGGCTAGTCAACTGGTGTCCAGAGGCTCAGGTTTGGGGGGAGCAAGGGGGAGGGGTGCTCCCCAGTTTTACCAGTCTCACTCAGATCCACTAGCTCACCTGGTGGCTTGTTCATGCGACCTGGAGGTGTCTGCTTGTTTTACTGCTCCCCTCACCTTCTGCTCCCCCCGGCTCATCCCTCCTCTGGCTCGGACCCCTGCAGTAGCCTTATCCAAAGCCCATCCTGTGCTTCCACAGAGATGGGGGGATGGGGCGGGGAGTGTGGAGGTGCTGGCTGTAAAAGCCTGAGAAGAATCATACACACACACACACACACACACCATCTGTAAACCAAACTGTTCTTCTTGGGAGCTTTAGCTGAAGGGACGTTGAATTTATGTTAGCAGTGGGGGTGGGGTTTGGGGGTGGGGTTAGGGGGAGTGTGATGAGGGAAGGAATGGCAGAAATGGTGGCACCCGCCACATGAGGAACGTCACCCCTCTCTGGTGTCCCGGACTTCTGCGTGGAGACGAGGTGGGGATGGCGGGGCTTCGGTGGTGCGGATGTGGTTACCACAGTACAGGGCAAGGAGCTAAGAGGCTCGAGCCGATTTTGCCGTGGGAAAAGCAAAGCAGCTACAGTGGCCTTCATTGTTCCAACAAGGAAACCCAAACTTCCTGCCTTCGAATCTAAGACCCTGAGTATTAACTCCCAATTGTGGGAGACAGAAAGGTTTTCCCCCAGGTTGTTCCCCTTAATTCTATGCCCAGCCTAGGACACAGCTTACTAGGGCATGGGAGGTCAGCTGCTTAGAGGTCATCTCCCTAAGGGTATCAGGGCAATGAGACCCTACTGTCTGTCCCACCCGAGGGGGGGGCACTCTCTGCTGATAAGAATAGTGGACGGTTTCCTTGAGACAAGGGTCAAGCCAACTCAAGGATGCCCAAAGTTAGCCTGCCATCTTGAATCTAGGATCCGCCCACCTTGTCCCATGTATACCCCTAGTCTCTCCCCTCCTATTGCATGTACAGCCCTAGCTCACCCCTTCCGGTCATACGTATGGCTATTGGACAGCCCCTTCCTGTTAGGATGAGGTTACCTGTAACGAAGGGGGCTTGGCACCCCCTAAGTGTATATAAGCCTTGATTAGAAAGATACTCACTCGTCTCCTACCTCCACATGGACCACCAAGAGAGGCTGAGGTGAGCATGCTACTATGAAATGTGCCTGACTCCTTTATTTTACTCTCTCTCCCATTCTCCATGACTTTACTATCATCTTTATAGATTATCACCGTACAATTGCGCCGACAGACCCTGCAGTTGTCAGAGCCTGGTTTGCTCTGACACCCAATTAATAATAAATGTACTGTATAAAGAAAAGAATCTAAGGCCCATCCGTTCCCCACCTTCTCTGCCACCTCCCACCCTCTCCCCGCTTCCCTCGCTCTCCTTCCAGTCCCACCTTGGGGCCTTTGCCCTTGCCCTTCCCTCGGCCTGACATGCTGTTCCACGCAGGAGCCACACAGCACAGGAAGAGCCTCTTCAAAGGGGGCCTCTCTCACCCACCCACCCAGTTTGTGGCCCTCACTCTGCCCTTCGCCCTGGCTCTATTTATCTCCTCATCGTCTGTCGCCCTCGGAAGTGGCCTGGCCTGTGGATCCCGTTAAGGCATCTGAGGTTTCCCAAGCAGGGCAGAGAGTTCCCATGAGGCCACGTCACCACTGGGTCCCCAAGAACATGGCACAGAGTCAGTGCACCGGAAACGCTGGTGTGTGGGTGATCGAGTGCCTACAGTGTACCAATACTAGGCTAATAGTCTCTTTCCCAGTGTGCATAGTTACAGACTTGGGTTTTATAGGGCCTGAAACATACAGAGGAGGTCTGGAGGCATAGTAGTTATGCAGCATGCATTGGGCTGCTAACTGAAGGGTCAGCAGTTCGAAACCACCAGTCGCTGCTAGGGAGAAATCTGGGGCTTTTTACTCCCATAGAGAGTACAGTCTCGGAAACCCACAGGGGCCGTTCTACCCTGTCCTATAGGGTCGCTCGCTAGGGGTCAGCACGGACTCCAACGTAGTGCGTTTGGTTTTGGAAGCATATACAATTTGGAGGGCCCTCTTTTTTAAAAGAAGAATACAACATTCCGAGTGTAAAACCAATCACAAGCACCAACAGCTCTGAAAAGGATCACACTCGCTAGACTGAGAGAAAAAATACAGAACAAGACAAAACAAAAATCATTAAAAAGAAAAGAAAAAGATCAGGCTTAGTGGTCAGATAAGAGCCTGGTGGGACCCCCTAGACGATGGCCCTTGGTACTCACTCTTGAGACCCAGAACAGAACTCACCCTCCCGGCTCAGCTTTCATCAGGGGAACAATTCCATTAGGGAAGCATGCACACTTCGCAATACTCATCCATTTGCCATCCAAAGGGCAGCATATCCCCAAAGCCAAAGGTCAGAAAGGTTAGGTAAGGAGGAGGTGTGGACACAGGAAAAGGGGGGAGGGGCAGTGGAATAAAGGAGTGGTTCATGGTGGGGTCGGGCCATCGATGACATCAAAGGAATTGTTCAATGGGAATGTGATCGGTCCTTTCCCTAATAAAAATGTGAACTGGCTACAAGCCCTGGGGGGAGACCTTGTAGGGGGAGATTCCTGAAGCTCAAGCCCCTGGCAGGGGGCACCGTTGACTGCTCGGGTACCAACCCTGCTGGCAAAGCTCCCGAGCGATGCCACATCAGGCCGACCTACAGGCACGCCGCAGAAGGTGGACGCATGTGTTTCCGACGCTCAGCCTGGGCGTCCCTGCTCACCCAGGAAGGCCGAGGGGGACACGGTCCCGTTGCTGCGCGCCACCATGACGCTGATGCCCGTCTCCACGAAGGGGACGGAGAAGTCCACGATCTCCGAGCGCTCCTCGTTGATGGTCAGGGAGCCGATGGCCATGTCCGCGCGCTGGTAGAACACCTGGGGTGGACCAGGAGGGAGGTGAGGGCCACCGGCGCTGACCAGTGGACAGGGCGAGGAACCCTCAGGTGGGTGAGAGGGGGGCAGGGCAGGGTGGAGGGGGTAGAAGATGGGAAAAGGTAGTCCCTGCCGAACCCCCTTCGAGTCTTCTGGCTCCACCCCCAGGCCCCGCCCTTCTTCCTGGAGCCCCGCCTCCACGAATTCATTATTCAGGCCCCGCCCCTCCAGACTCTGGCTCCTCCTCCACCACCACCAAGGCCCATCTCCAGGCCCCGCCCCTCCAGACTCTGGCTCCTCCTCCACCACCACCAAAGCCCATCTCCAGGCCCCGCCCCTCCAGACTCTGGCTCCTCCTCACCACCAAGGCCCA